GGCCCCAGGCACAACACGCACATCCCGCCCCAAAATCGATGGCCGCCGCCTTTCTGGCGCTACCAAATCTTTCCTACTCAGCTTCCATTTCCATAACATATTTCATTTCGGTCGTTCGTAACACAAATGAATAATAGCCCTTTCCCTGTCTTGCCGGGGAGTTTAGTTTAGTTTTAGTAAGAGTTTAGCGGCACTTGCAACACAACAGGTCATATATACAAGAGCCGAAGATTAGAGGTGTTACAAGAGAGTTACAAACATCAAAAAGAAGGTAGGGGAGATAAGGATGATAGATGTTGGGTAGGAAAAAAGGGAGCATACCACACCAGAGCACCCCCCAACCACCCACTTGCTGGAGAGTGAATAAGCTCTTTGAGAAAGCACGTCTGGGTTGAGTGAAAGGGTTTAGAAAAGCTTTGCCCCGAGGAAAGTTGGAGAGGGGGTATCCTTGCAGACTATCATTGTGACATCATTGTTTAACCCTATCCGTACGCCCTGGGGTCATTTTGTACCCCCGGGGTTGTATTCTTCACTTTTTAGAATACTTCTAGTACGAAGATTTCTTTGACACATTCAGTATTTCTCAAAAAGTCATTTTGACAGACTGCTACGCAAAGCGTACGGATCGGATTAACGAGCAAATTTCTTCTTTGGAAAGTGGTGGCTCAGAGTTCCCCACGTCGTATGGATACGATAGTAAAACACGACGTACGGAGAGGGTTAAGTGGTGGCACAGAGTTCCCCACGTCGTATCGATACGATAGTAAAACACGACGTACGGATAGAGTTAAGAATAGAGCGAGGGTTAGACTGCAAGTATACGGATACATTTTTGACCAAGGGCTTCGCTTTCCATCTTAACAAATCACAATTTATCTTCGGGGCGGCCTCTTTCCATGGTGAATTTTTTGATTTCCACATTCCTTATGCATACAGTATACACAGTTTGAGTCGTGAAACTATCCGTACGCCCTGGGGTCATTTTGTACTCATGCGGTTGTATTCTTCATAATTTTAAAATACTTCTAGTGCAAAGATCTCTTTAAAACTTTCAGTATTTTTAATGCTACGCAAAGCGTACGGATCGGATTAACGAGTAAATTTCCTCTTTGCAAAGTGGTGGCACACAGTTCCCCACGTCATGATACGATAGTAAAACACGACGT